TGCTGCTGCTGCTGCTGCTGCTGCTGCTGCTGCTGCTGCTGCTGCTGCTGCTGCTGCTGCTGCTGCTGCTGCTGCTGCTGCTGCTAGGCTGCTGTTGTTGTTGTGGTCCTGCTTCTGCGACGCTGCAGTTGCTGCTGTGCCGCTGCTGCTGTTGCTACGCTGCTGCTGTTGCTACGCTGCTGCTTTTATGCTTTTGGCGCCACCCCAGCAGCAGCAGCAACAGCAGCAGCAGCAACAGCAGCAACAGCAGCAGCAGCAACAGCAGCAACAGCAGCAGCTGCGACTCAGCACCCGCCTGGCAGCGGCAGCACAAAGCGGGCCTTCCACGTTTAGATGCTCTACTGAATTAGACCTAGGAATTATATTTAGGGCTAAAGCTTTAGGGTTTAGGGTTTAGGGTTTAGGGTTTAGGGTTTAGGGTTTAGGGTTTGCGGCTCAGGATCTGCAACTGCGTCCGCGAGGCCCCGCTGGACATGCCCCTCACAGTTGCGCAGCTGCGGAATTTAACTCTTTCGAAACTTGTGCAAAGAATATCCAAGTCAGCTGCTGCTGCTGCTGCTGCTGCTGCTGCTGCTGCTGCTGCTGCTGCTGCTGCTATTGGTACTTTTGCTGCTTCGCCGGCAGTTTCGCTGCTGCAACTTCTTTTGTTGCTGCTGCATTTGTGCACTGCCATGGCTGCTGCTGCTGCTGCTGCTGCAGCTGTTTCGTGCGCCTGCTGGGGGCTGAGAAATGAGGGTTTAGGGTTTAGGGTTTAGGGTTTAGGGTTTGCGCAGCCGGCAGCAGCACCTGCTGGCGTACCGCATCTGCGACTACTCGGGACTTTCTTCTCGATCTGTTTTTGTTTCTTGGGCTCTTCAAAAGATCCTTTTGAACTCTTCTTTGACAGATGAGGCTTTAGCTGCTGCAGTCTGCAGCAGAATGCATGCAGCAGCAGCAGCAACGCCCGCAGCAGCAGCAGCAGCAGCAGCAGCAGCAGCAGCGGCGGCGGCGGCGGCGGCGGCGGGCGCAAAGGGCGCAGACACAGCTGCGGGGCCCCACACGCAGCAGCAGCAGCAGCAGCAGCAGCAGCTGCTGCTGCTGCAGCAGCAGCTGCTGCAGCAGCCGCTGCCCTTCGCCCAGCTGGCCCTTTGTGCTGCTCAGGCGGGGCGGCCTGTGCTGGCCACTCGTCTTGCTGCCTTCGAGGAAGAACCCAAAGTAAACCCTAAACCCTAAACCCTAAACCCTAAACCCTAAACCCTAGTTCTGGACAGGCGCGCGGCTCCAAACCCTAGCGGCGGTTTGGTTGCAAGCGCAGGAAAAACCGCACATTTTTACTTGTAGAAACACACGTGCTGCTGCTGCTGCTGCTGCTGCTGCTGTTGCTGCTGCTGCTGCTGCTGCTGCTGCTGCAGGCGCAAGTGACTTTGCTGCTGAAGCTGGCTAAGGTCCCTTTGGCTACAAAGAAAGCAGCAGAAACAGCAGACTCGGATTTGCTGCTGCTGTGCATTGCTGCTGCTCTTGCTGCAGATGCAGACACCGTAGATGGGCGGTATGCTGCTGCTGCTGCTGCTGCTGCTGCTGCTGCTGCTGCTGCTGCTGATGCTGCGAAGCTCTATTTTGGTACAACGAGTTTGACGCTTAAACTGCAGCAGCCAGAGATAAGGGCTTAGGGTTAAGAGTTAAGGGTTTAGGGTTTAGGGTTTAGGGTTTAGGGTTTAGGGTTTGGGGCTCAGGGTGGACATGAGTCAGTTGGTGGAAGCTCTTAAGGATAAACCCGCAGCACAAAGTGCTTTTGAGATTTACTGCAAACAAACGGGGCAGCTGCAGCTAGTCAGTTGCTGCTGCTGCTGCTGCTGCTGCTGCTGCTGCTGGAGACGCTGCTGCTGCTGCTGCTGGAGACGCTGCTGCTGCTGCTGCTGCTGGAGAAGTTCCTGGTGCTGCTGCTGGAGACGCTGCTGCTGCTGGTGCTGCTGCTGGTCATGCTGCTCCTGCTGCTGCTGCTGCTGCTGTTGCTGCTGCTGCTTTTGCTTCTGCTGCTGCTGTTTAGACTGCCCTGAATGAGGTCTGAGTTGCGCTCGCCGCAACTTAGGGTTTAGGGTTTAGGGTTTAGGGTTTAGGGTTTAGGGTTTGGGGTTTGCGCTGTGCAGCTGGAGCAGTACTACGAGCGGGTGGCTGCAGCGGAGGAGGCGGGTTTGTGCTGCTTGTGTCTGTCTGAAGCAGCAGCAGCAGCAGCAGCAGCAGCAGCAACAGCAGCAGCAGCAGCAGCAAGCTGGGAGCAGCAGCGCGGCTGGCTAGCTTACTCGGGGGGCTTTTTCGCAGCAGCAAAAGAGACTGACGTTTTTGCTGCTGTGGCGCATGCAGAAGCCCTTGGGGCTTTGGAACTCCTGGCCATCCAGGTTTGCTGCTGCTGCTGCTGCTGCTGCTGCTGCTGCTGCTGCTGCTTCTGCTGCTGCTGCTGCTGCTGCTTATGCTGCTGCTGCTGCTGCTGCTTATGCTGCTGCTGCTTATGCTGCTGCTGCTACTGATGCCTTTGCTGCTGGTGCTACTGCTGCTTTTGCTGCTGCTGCTGCTGCTGCCTTTTTTGCTGCTGCTGCTCTGGCAGCTGCTGCTGTTTTTGTTGCTGCTTCGGCTGCCTCTCGTACTGCTTTTGCGGCCTCTTCTGCTGCTGCTGCTGCTGCTGCTGCTGCTGCTGCTGCGTGTTTGTTCTTTGAGTCCAATTTTTTGCATTATTTCGAATTTTATTTAAATAAATAAATAAATAAATTAATATTTATTTATTTATTTATTTATTTATTTATTTATTTATTTATTTGTTTG